GGGTAATAATGATGAGAAGAAGAAGAAGAAGAAGAAGAAGAAGAAGAAGAAGAAGAAGAAGAAGTACAAAAAGAGGAAAAAGAAGAAAAAGAGAAAAAGAAGAAAAAGAAAAAGAAGAAATAGAAGAAGAAGAAAAAGAAAAGAAGAAGAAATAGAAGAGAGAAATAGACCGACATACATACACACCGAAAGACAGCCATAAAAGGCAGGAAGAGAGCGAGAGAGCGAGGAGAGCCTGTCAGGTATCGACAATGCTCCCTCGCAGAGAGACTCGAGCATAATGCAAGAGATGCAGGAGATGGCCTGGCGTGATGCGAGGGGCGGAGGCGGTCTCTCTTGCACGAGGCCTCACGTTGCTTCCGTGCACGAATATTAATGACTGTGGGCTTGTGTTTATGATACGTACGTTACGTTAATTACCTTTTTTTTCTCTGTACTGATATGGCGACGATCAGCTGATAGGAATACTTGATAGGGCATGGCTGTCGTTACATACAAATGCACGAATATTGATACACAAAATTCGTATATTCGCTCGCTCGCATACACACGCACACACACACACACACACACACACACACACACACACACACACACACACACACACACACACACACACACACACACACACACACACACACTCACACACACACACATTCCCTTACATCAAAGCGACTTCGAATTTCTCCTGCAGTCGTCTGTTATATATTCCTGAGACGAAAATTATAATCAAAACTTTTATGATCATGACAATTGTTTCTCAATGACTGTGCCTGACTGAGGGCTTGTGTTTATGATAAGAATTACCGCTGATGATGAACTAACCACTTGTCTTATATCGAAAAATTAAGTAAAATAAAGATTTGCTGTTTATGTTTTCTTAACTCGTTGTCTAAAGGAGATCCGTAGTTTACACTAAAAGGAACGTAATTTTCTTTCATGCTGAGGACGAGATTTTAACCAATTAGAAAAGTGATCGCTTGTATTTTTGTTTCATCTATTTATCTATTGTTCTTAGAACGAAATATCACACCGGTATCGTCTTATTTTCTTATTATCTTTATATCTTTCTTTCTTTAAGATATCGGAACTATTTCTCGCACTTGTCCAAACTCCTTAATATTTTTTTTCATCGCTATCCATTCACTTTTCTTTATCCTCATTAATACCAATGACATGCAAATAAACGCATTTAAAGGGTCAACGTTCGCTGCCACCTCGTCACTTAAGACACGCCAGCCACTTACAACTTCCACACAGTAATACAGCCACTTTAAACTTCCTGAATAACAAGAAGTTTTACAAAGAACCTTGGCCGCAGTCACTATCTTGCTTAGGCCGGTTTAAGACGTTCATTGAATCGATTGTATTTCTTGGCATAAACCCGTTTCTTAAGGGCCCGAATTTTGATTATCCAGAGAGAGAGAGAAAAAAAAAAATCATCAATGTTTAGGTAGGAAATAGTTAGGGCCTTTATTTTATTAAGCTTTTTGTTGACATATTTACGTCATTTGCTTGTCCTTGGATAGGATTTTTTTTTTCATTTCGTTATTTATTTTCAAATGTGTTTATCTGTTTGCCTATGTTTTCCTTGTTCAAGTCGTGGTTAGTTTCATCTTCATTTGTTTGTTTACTTCAACTTGATAAATTTACCCTTTATCTCTTTATTGATGTTCATTTTGTATACAGTCTGAATGTCTGGAACGTTATAACATTAATATAATTAAACATATTTTAAAATTCATTGCTATCCCAAAGAAATAGATTTATTCCTAATTCTAATAATATTCTGCCTATTTAGTGCAATATAAAGTTTGACCATCATTGGGAAAATTAAAGGGCAATTTTGCTAGCTTTACTTACTTATGCATAATTACATGATACACAGAAAGTTCTTGATTAAATTCTAAGCGCAAGGATTACGATTAACTTAATGCCTGAATAATCTCTGATCAAAAGAGACCCGATAAATAATGGAATCCAATTTAACTCGTGTAAGACTAGGCGCCGCTCGGTTTAATAGACTTAGAGTTATCTTTATCTCTACAAGTTTCAGCGACAAAGTAAGGTTCATATGCTCCGGCTGGGATCTATGAATATTCACACGCACATACGCACACACGTACGTGTGTGTGCGTGTGTGTGTGTGTGTGTGTGTGTAAATGTGTACGTATATATATGTATACATACATACACACATAATGTTAGTTCTTTCCCTTCCATTTCGTTGTTTTCCTGATTAAGCAACCGGAGTTCCCATTAAGCGCACTGAACTATTTCCAAAGCCGCGTAGGAGTGCCGAGGACTTTAAGTTTTCTCTCTGTGTTAAGTCTCCTCCACAAAATTCCTTCTTTGGTCTTTTGTTTCTCTCCCGCATAAACATATCCTCTCTCTCCTCTGTCCCTTTG